TTAAGAAATCACCGATTTTGAAGTAAAGTACCTACATTATTGTATAGTAGGCATTTGTTTTTTTCTTAATGTTATTAAAGTTTTCGGTTTCATCCCTTTCTTGGCGCCAATCTTGAACAAAGTAGGTACGTAGGTACGTTCAAACTCACGTACTGATGTTTTGATTTCTCCGGCTGTAAAATAATTATTGCAGATGCGGCTGCTTGTACAATTTTTGAATCAACAATTAATTAATATCTGTTTTAAAAAGATAATACAGATTCCTAATTTTAGTTACTCTAAAATTCTATAGATGTCGTCCTATGGAAACATTTAAATTAAACATTAAAAAGTTATTTTTTATAATAATGATGTTCGTCGTAGAAAAAGTATAGTATGCAACTCGTTTATTAACTTTTCTAGACAATTATTTTCATTAAACACTCGCATAATTAAAATTCGTGACTAAAATGGCGTTTATTAAAATTAATACATAATATACTATTTCAGCGTAAACAAATTAACATTAATTAAAATCTAATTGTATAGTCTAAACATTACAACAAAAGTGTATAAAATTTCATTCAATTACACACAGTGGTCACTGTGACATATGCGTCATGCCTGCTATACAATAATGCATTTTTTTCAAAATTAATGATTTCTTGAAATTTTCTGGTCCCTTGACGTGGCTTGACTCACCTCTGTACGAGACGCTACGATATTTTAATTTCAGATCACATTACCATCATATTAATTCTATCTATTCTAAAACGGGTTAGTTAGTTGCATTAAAAAAAAATTGTGTTTTTGTTAAAGGATAATGATGCAAAAATATTAGTTATACACTTATAATCAGTATAATGTTATGCTTTATCTGTAAAAAAACCTTTCATTCCTTTCAAATACTTTCACATCATTTTAAACGCGTACATGATTTAAAAACATCGGGTATATTTAGATGTTTTGAAGATAACTGTCATCAAGTTTTTCAAAACTTAGGCAGCTTTAAAAAGCACATGAATCGAAAACATAATAACTATGACGATGATATGAATAAAAATTATGAAAGTAATTTAGAACTAGGGACAGCATTAAATAATAATAAGGGCTCTGAGACTGCGACGCAGGCCTCAGAAACTATTATTAAATCTAAGGATGAATCATTACCGAAAATTCAGCCTGAAGTATCACCGTTAAAAAAAATTGCAAAATCTGTTGCAGATTTTGTACTTTCGCTCCATAATAACAATAATTTTTGTAGAAAGGACGTTTTTCAAATACAACAATACAGTAACATATTTCTAATTAATCCTATATTGGATTTGTTTATGGCATTTGCGGAGTCTCATTTTAAACAATACGATTCGATATACAATGATTTTTGTAGCCTTTTAGCCAATTGTAGAAATCCATTTAAATTTCTAAATACTGACCATTTATTATATAAGTGGTTAGTATCTGAAGGGTTTACTCAAAATGTACAAGAATTTACAGTTAATGAAGAAATTGGTTTAGCACATCGCGCTGGTATGTCAGTTTATGACGAAAAAAAAATTAAAGGTACTCTTATGCCTATAAAATTTCAGTTTCAAAAAATATTTGAGAAAGAAGGTCTATTAATTCGTACATTAAAACATTTGGAATTTCTAGAAAAAAGCCCAAAATTGAAGAACTTTGTACAGGGAAGGTTATGGAAGCAAAAAAAAGCATTGTACCCCAATAAAATTGTCCTGCCATATTTTTTGTATAACGACGATTTTGAAATCAATAACCCACTTGGCTCACATTCGAAAGTTCATTCTCTTTGTAATGTTTATTATACATTTCCATGTTTTCCAGTAGAAGAATCCAAGTTAGATAATGTATTTTATATGGCCGCAATAAAATCGACTGATTTAAAAACTTACGGAAACGTAAAATGCTTTCAGTTTCTAATAAACGAATTAAAATCTTTAGAAACAGATGGAATAGACATAAAAATTGATGAACTGTCTACTTTACATGTTCATTTTGTTTTAGGTTTAGTTCTGGGTGATAATTTGGGCTTAAATTCTTTTCTTGATTTTAGAAAGTCATTTTCCAGTAATTTTTTTTGTAGACTGTGTAAAGTTAAAAAATCAGATACTCAGGAGTTAAGCATCGAAAATTCAGAATTACTGAGAACAATTGCAAATTATGAATCGGACTTAAAAATTAATGACGAAAAACAAACAGGTAATGTCAGTAATTCCTTACTCAATTCAATTCCATCCTTCCATGTAGTAGAGAACTATTATGTTGACGTAATGCATGATATTTTTGAAGGTGTCTGTCATTACAATCTTTGTCATGCATTAAATTATTTTACTATAAAGATGAAATATTTTGACTTAACTACTTTAAATTCACGAAAAAAAAACTTTGCTTATGGACCCACTGAAATTGATAATTTATCTGGTGAAATTACTACAAAACATCTAAACAATAAAAAGTTGAAAATGTCAGCCAGAGAAATGATGACTTTTATTATTTATTTTCCCCTTATGATTGGAGATTTAGTTCCATCTGACGATCCTGTGTGGAAATTTCTAATTAATTTTATTGAAATTATAGACATTATAATTTGTTTTGAGATTGACGAACCAAATATTATTATATTAGAAAATAAAATTAAGAGCCACAACAGTGATTACGTTTTGTTATTTAAGGATACGCTTAAGCCCAAGTTTCACAATCTAACTCATTATGGAAGAGTCATTCGTCAATCAGGTCCTTTAAGAAAGTTCTGGTGTTTTAGGTATGAGGCAAAGCATAGGCAGTTTAAAATTTATTCCAATTGTATCACATCCCGTAAAAACATTTGTCTGACTTTGTCTAAAAAATATCAGTTAAAATTTGCATATCAGTTAAATAATCCTAATAATATAAGTAACGATATTACATTTAATTCTAAACACCAAGTGTCAAGCAATTATAAAAATATTGTTTTAGAAAAACTAAAAGTAGATGCCGGTGACATATTTTTTTATTCTACCATACAACACATAGGATTTAAATATAGATGTGGAAATTACATAGAAACATTTAAAAATGACATAGAATTTTTTGTAATATTAAATATAATCATATTTAAAAACAATAATGGAGTTTTTTTCTGTCAAAAACTACAAAAAGTGCAGTACAGAGAACATTTTGTAGCTTATGAAATTGACCCAGAACTTCTTGGGGAATTTTTTATAATTTCACTTGATGATATTGTTGGACCGCCTCTTACTTTAATAAAAACTGCTAAAGGCAAATCAATGATCCGAACAAAGGAATATTACAAAGTCATTTCTTATGACTAATCCCTTATTTAACCATTTATATTACAAATTTATTTTTATTAAAATTAAATAAAATAATGCTTAAATAATAGGTCTGTTCTAAAACCATTTCCAACGAAACAGAATTGTACGGAGTGCGCATATTGAAATACGGATAGATTTTTTTGAATATGCGCAAACTCCGTACGATTCCGTACCTTTGGAAATGGTTTCTAGAACAGACCCAATATTGATTTGGGTTTATTTTAAAATAAAATATTGTTTAATTAAGGTTTTTAGTGGTTTTTATTTTTTTGTGATGGTTAATAAAACAGTGATAGTTTTAGAAACTTTTTTTTTTGGAGCAGAGCGAAAACCTTTAGGTCTTACTAAATGTTGGTATGCTGAATCGAGTGGAGCTATTAGTTTTTAAAAGTTAGGTAAACTTTTCGAGATATTTCAAAAACAAAATATCGAACATTTCTTTAGAATTTTATTATTTATTATATGTTGGTTAAAAATCTCATCGGATCTCTGTTGTAGACTTCAAAAAAGACTATTTAGAAAAATATATTACCACTCGACTACTAAGGCCCCATTTTTATAGCTGACGATAATTACAATTTTTGACAATTTTCCTTTTTTTTATTTTTATGTAATATGTTTTTTTATTATAATTTTATAATAATTTATTACAATTTTATAATTATAATCAACGAAATCAGATTACATTTAATAATTCTAATATTTTATAATAAAAATAAATGTATGAGTATGAGTATGGCAACGTATGGCATATCGACATTTAATAATTCTAATATTTTATAGTTAAAATCGAGTTAAATCGGTTAAAATAAACAAAAATACAAAAATTATTTTTTTTTATAAAATTGTATATATGCGAATTAAAAATTTAGAGTGGTATGAAAATATTATTCTTCAATTAATTTCCAAACCGTCCTTAAGGACGGTTTGGAAATTAATTGATCAAAACTACTACTTATAGAATATTTTAAGGGTAATTACCCTTAAAATATTCTATAACATTTCAGTGTAATTAATCGAGTTGTAGTATACTACAACTCTATTAATTACACTGAAATATATATAGTTTTGACCAAAAAGCTTTTTACAAAAGTCTTTTAATATTATAGTAGAAATCTAAAGAAGTTTCAGCGAACATATTAAAAATAAATGATATTTTGTGTACTTTTTTTTAAATATCTCAAAAAATTAAGCTAACTCTTGAAAACTAATGGCAAGACTGGATTCAGCAAACCAAAATTAGGTAAACTAGGTACGTCCCCTTCTGCTCCAAAATTCAGCTATCATAGTGTAATTATCGACCATCACAAAATTAAAAACCACTAAAAAACCTTAATTAGAAAATATTTTACTTTAAAATAATTTAAAATAATTATAATTTGCCTAGTGTGCATGAAAAATAAAAAGGAAATGGCAAATTTGTTTTTTTTTCACTGTTTGAACTATAGTTACTATAGTAACCATTGTATAAATGGTTAACTTATTACCTATTATTTAGTTAGAGTAAAAATTATTACAGGTATTTTTTAATATATAAAGCAAAACATTTTTATTTTATTTATTTTTTAACCTTATTGTTATCCATTACCTGTCAGTCATGTAACTGTTAATATTATATTCAATTATCATTAGATTAAGGGATCTAACTAATCTGTGGAATGAAATAAAAGGCTCATTATACTAGAAAATATGCAAAACGACAGTGTTCATAATTCAGCTGTTCAAAACTATCCAAGTCCGCCATTAGCTCTGGTGCCTACCAATGTATCTACTCAAAATGAAGCCGATGGGATAGAATACACGAACTTGTTTTCCAGAAATGAGAACTTGCCCCTCGATTTGCCTCAATCAGATAATCCGAGGGAAGAACTAATACTACTCCTTGGTAGCTGGAAACAAGAATTGCTACTGGATCACTTCATAGGTAATTTGATTTAAAGTTTTTAAAGCATTCTTTTTTGTTAAGCTATAAAATATTTTAGCTCAAAATGTGTTTGTTTGTGTTTTAAAAGTTATTAAACGTTGTCATCTAGAAAAACTTTTAAAAGAGTTTGATCTTGGCACACAAATAACCTTTGAACACAACTTAGAGGAATGGAGAAAATCAATTGGAATTCCACTTCTTGATGGTACTACTTTCACACAAAATATAGAAACTTCATTTTCTTCAAGTAAGCCATCATCGCCAACTTCCTCCATTGCCTCCTCGTCATCACGATTTGATCCCTACGGCAAGAGATCGCCCACTGCAGATAAAGGCAACGGAATAATGCTTTCAACTGTTTTAACTCAATACTTGTTACATGTAACTTAATTAATTTCAGGAATATTACCGAACGGGTAAGCGTGGTAAGCTTTACAACAAATTTTGCAATTTACGGTCATCATTTAAAAATGTAGTCTCGCATCATGTAATTCCAAAAACCAAGAAAATAGATGAAAAAAAACCTCGATATGAAAAGGTTTTTGGTAAGTTTTCTCTAAAATCTAAATCTTTTAATTAAATTATTTAAATTGTTCTTTTTTTCAGTGCCTGAAAGTGATGCAGAAAGTTGCAAAAGGGTTTTAACATATGACAACCTATCATCAGAAGAGTTTGACAGGTGCTGGAGGGCTTGTAGCCAATATCGTTTGGCTCAAATAAAAGAACTTAAATCTTCTGCAGCCGTTTTAGAAAAATGGCCCTTTTATCAAAAACCCTCAGGTTTTCGACTGGTAGGATTAATATTTTTAGTTATTTATCTAATAGTTTAATAATAATATTTACTACATACCTATTAATTTTTAGATTGATATGGATTTTAGTATCCTATTTGACACTGGAAATGCTCTTTTGGATAAATGGAAAATTTTCCATAGTACAATTATTTCGTTTCTGTCTGGCGAGGGACATATTAAAGATAAAGGAATAAAAGGCTTCCTGGAAGAAATTAAAAAGGGAAAACTTACCGAAAGTAAGTAAATTTAAAGCAACTTTTAGGTGAAACTAATAGTAATTATTCATATAGATAGTCGAGATGTATTAATTTTATGGGCAATTCATGGTTATTTGATTCCTACCCATAAAGTAATTAAAAATGATCCAATTAGTGGGAAAAAATCCACAACAAAGTACACAATTAAAGATTCGCAGGAGTCATTTTTGTTTATTGGAAAGTGTCCACAAGAAATAGAAGACCATCTGGCACATAGAAAGTCCTTTAAGAAAAGCATTCAACCATTTATTTTATGTATTGGGGAGGATATTTTAAATATTCAGGAGATATACGTATATTTTGACGAAATTAAATATTCTTTTGTGAACTTTTTGCGAGCAGTTGATATTTGCTACAAAATAACATATGTGTTTGTTTAACTTAGATTTCGCATCGGAATGTTTAATGTTTTGGAATTTTATCGACAGTTTTTTTTTTGAAATGAAAACTAAAGAGTCATTTTCGAGAGTGCATATTTTGGCGGAAGCTCTTAAGACTAATGTTAATTTAGACGAAAATTTTTAAATTTAATTAAACACAAATGTATTTCCGTATAAATGTATTTTTAAGTTATGAATGAATGAATGAATGTGCAATTTATATTTGATTTTGTTTTTTTTAGAAGTTTATTTGTATAATGTATAATTTATAAAAAGAAAAATAAACTACGTTCATTTCCATTATAAGATTTTGTCCTTTATCTAATAACCTAGCTTCCATATTACAGAAAAGTGTAAATTAAGTGCATTGTCACATGTTGCGCATAGACCTACTTGCGCTTCACCCCCGGTAAGTATATTGCGATACAAAAATTGCACACAATTTTTAAAGTAAATTATTTTACCAACTAAAAAGGGAATTGATTTGCACCTATAATTAATTAAATGTGTTAATTTATTAAATGTAATAGATTTATTATTTAACAAATAAAATAATTATTATCAAAAAATAATTCGTTAAACTAATTCATAATATTAATAATTTCGATTATAAGTCGATTACTTCCTACGTTGAATTAATAACTACGTTTATCATATTAATAAAAAAATAAATAAACATCATAATAATATCAATAAAGTTAGTAGTTAAGTAATGTATAGGATACACTAAATCAATAAATATATTTGATTACTTCCTACGTTGAATTTATAAATACTTTTATCATATTAATAAAAAAAATTAATGACTATCACAATAATATCAATAAAGTCAGTAGTTAAGTAATGTATATGATACACTGAATCAATAAATATATTTGGTACCATAATAAAACTTCAAGTTCTGTAGACCAACATTGTTCGTTGTAACAATTACATCCAATTATATTAACAATGAAAAAGTTATATTAACCATTAAACGGGATTTATAAATCAACGAAATAAATGTTAGCCAATGAATGAAGTAATTATTTTATTAAATGTGCTTTATTATATCAATAATTAGTTACGTTGGACAAATTTTAATAAAAAATTTATTGAAACAACGTTTTTTTTTATTGGATATACGTCGATTTTTGGTTCAGTGTAGTTTCAGAATTCTTAAGAAATAATCGGGTGAACTGGCAATTTATTCCTCCACGGTCGCCGCATTTTGGTGGACTTTACGAAAGAGCTGTTTCTTCTTGTAAACATCATTTAATCCGAATAATGTCCGATAAAAACTTGAATTATAAATTATTTAGTACAATACTCGCACAAGTCGAGGCAATTTTGAACTTTAGGCCATTGAGCCCATTATCATCAGATCCTAACGATCTCAATCCTTACATTTCCTTATTGATTCCGAACTTACCACTTTACCCGAACCCAACATTACTGAAATTCCTATGAATAGATTAAGCAAATACCAATTGATACAACAGTGTACTCAAAGTTTTTGGAACAGATGGCATAAAGAATATCTCAACAGCCTACAACAAAGAAGCGGAAATTTTCAAAAGACGAAAATATTAAGGTGTTCCCACCTGGTACTTTTAAAGGAAGAAAACTTACCTCCAATGAACTGGCGGTTGGGTAGAATAATGGAAACATTTCCAGGTGAGGATGATGTGGTTCGAGTTGTTAGTGTCAAGACAAAAAATGGAATCTTTAAAAGATCCAACAAAGGCGTCGCAATACTGCCACTCGAAGATGATTCAAGTTCGTAATTTTGAAAGTACGGACTTTCAAGGGCGGCGGGATGTTACGTGCAGCGCCATCTATGAAGAGAAGCGTACATTAAGATCAACTAAGATCAACTGACCCCGGACAGATCCCCCAGCCAGCTCGCGCTTGCAAGAAAAACCCCGGACAGATCCCCCAGCCAGCTCGCACTTGCAAGAAAAACCCCGGACAGATCCCCCAGCCAGCTCGCGCTTGCAAGAAAAACCCCGGACAGATCCCCCAGCCAGCTCGCACTTGCAAGAAAAACCCCGGACAGATCCCCCAGCCAGCTCGCGCTTGCAAGAAAAACCCCGGACAGATCCCCCAGCCAGCTCGCACTTGTAAGAAAAACCCCGGACAGATCCCCCAGCCAGCTCGCACTTGCAAGAAAAACCCCGGACAGATCCCCCAGCCAGCTCGCACTTGCAAGAAAAACCCCGGACAGATCCCCCAGCCAGCTCGCACTTGCAAGAAAAACCCCGGACAGATCCCCCAGCCAGCTCGCACTTGCAAGAAAAACCCCGGACAGATCCCCAGCCAGCTCGCACTTGCAAGAAAAACCCCGGACAGATCCCCCAGCCAGCTCGCACTTGCAAGAAAAACCCCGGACAGATCCCCCAGCCAGCTCGCACTTGCAAGAAAAACCCCGGACAGATCCCCCAGCCAGCTCGCACTTGCAAGAAAACCCCGGACAGATCCCCCAGCCAGCTCGCGCTTGCAAGAAAAACCCCGGACAGATCCCCCAGCCAGCTCGCACTTGCAAGAAAAACCCCGGACAGATCCCCCAGCCAGCTCGCACTTGCAAGAAAAACCCCGGACAGATCCCCCAGCAAGCTCGCACTTGCAAGAAAAACCCCGGACAGATCCCCCAGCCAGCTCGCACTTGCAAGAAAAACCCCGGACAGATCCCCCAGCCAGCTCGCACTTGCAAGAAAAACCCCGGACAGATCCCCCAGCCAGCTCGCACTTGCAAGAAAAACCTCGGACAGATCCCCCAGCCAGCTCGCACTTGCAAGAAAAACCCCGGACAGATCCCCCAGCCAGCTCGCACTTGCAAGAAAAACCCCGGACAGATCCCCCAGCCAGCTCGCACTTGCAAGAAAAACCCCGGACAGATCCCCCAGCCAGCTCGCACTTGCAAGAAAAACCCCGGACAGATCCCCCAGCCAGCTCGCACTTGCAAGAAAAACCCCGGACAGATCCCCCAGCCAGCTCGCACTTGCAAGAAAAACCCCGGACAGATCCCCCAGCCAGCTCGCACTTGCAAGAAAAACCCCGGACAGATCCCCCAGCCAGCTCGCACTTGCAAGAAAAACCCCAGACAGATCCCCCAGCCAGCTCGCACTTGCAAGAAAAACCCCGGACAGATCCCCCAGCCAGCTCGCGCTTGCAAAAAAAACCCCGGACAGATCCCCCAGCCAGCTCGCACTTGCAAGAAAAACCCCGGACAGATCCCCCAGCCAGCTCGCACTTGCAAGAAAAACCCCGGACAGATCCCCCAGCCAGCTCGCACTTGCAAGAAAAACCCCGGACAGATCCCCCAGCCAGCTCGCACTTGCAAGAAAAACCCCGGACAGATCCCCCAGCCAGCTCGCACTTGCAAGAAAAACCCCGGACAGATCCCCCAGCCAGCTCGCACTTGCAAGAAAAACCCCGGACAGATCCCCCAGCCAGCTCGCGCTTGCAAGAAAAACCCCGGACAGATCCCCCAGCCAGCTCGCACTTGCAAGAAAAACCCCGGAGCTGCCCAACAAACGCAAACTACTCACGACGCCCAGAATGGACGTGAAGAAAAAGCCCAGAGTGGACGCGAAAGCGCCAACTTGCGAGTACAAAAGTAAGTCCAGGCTGTTACGTGCAGCGCCATCTATGAAGAGAAGCGTACATTACGCAGTATTAAATAAAATCACTAGCAATCGTTAATGAGACGCGTGAGAAGGAAGAAGCGCGAATTTTGGTGAATTGTCGATATTGTAATGAAACATTTACATTGTGTTGTATCAAGGTATTTAATAAACTTAGGCAACCAACATTACGGTTAAGCCCGCGAATTTTTAATCATTTTTTATTAAGCTGGGTGCAAAAAATCTCTCCATATTGAAGTTTTGGGGAGAGGATCGCAGAGTGTGAACCTTTTAAAACCTAAGTTTATTTTAAAGCTCTTTTAAGTTTTTATTATTACGAAACCACGGTTTTTGGTCGTATTTTAGGTAAGTTGCTATATATTTTAATGGTATTAATAATACTTACTTTTTGTCTGTTCGTAAACTTTATTTATTATAGTGTTTTCTTATTTATTAATAGTCATGCATAGTTTGTGATAATAATGAAATGTCTTTCGTATTTTAGATTCTCTTTTCCTTTACAATAATTATACACCTTTTGGAACTCGTAAATTGTATGCACCAGGAAATATATTGTTCCTACCGAAGCACTTGTTTAATTTGTACTCTCGAACATCCTACACACCCTGAGAACGAGCTGGAATAGCCACCCAGCATCACCAGCCCACCTTTTTGCCATCGAGTAGCCACTCCACATTTGGCTGTTCCGCTACAACTTGTCACCCAACTGAGGGCCTTGACTCACTCGATAAGTCAAGGAAAACAAATTCAAGATGCCTTTGGGAAGAACTCCTGATAATGGTGCCAGGTATGCCACCCGCAGCAGGACAACAGCTAGCAACCAATACCAGCTACGTACAGCAGTGACAGAAGCAAACAGCCCCACAACAAACTCGGGGGCACACTTCCACTTTTAGATGAAGCAGCTGCATACGTTTTCACTGAAACACCTGTACGAGCAAGGAACAGCATTCCACCACAGAATGAGCAAAGCAGAGTTAACATGACTCCCATTCTACCTCGAGGTGAGAACATTCCTTTAAACTTGCCTTTGCCAACATTATCAAGCCAAGTTAGCTATCCTGCTCTGTCAAACACAGTTAATACAAGCAATTTAAGAATGACAGCTGCTCCTTGGTTTGGAAATGGGTTGCCAGTAACATCATCACAGCCAAGCAGTAATCCTGAAACAATAAATAACGTTAATTCAAATAATTTTTTAAATAGTCATATTAATAGTCATACCTTGAATAGCGATGTTAATTTAGGTTATGTAAACACAAACTATGCATATAATTTCGAAAATAATTCTTTGCAGCCCAATGCAAACAGTCATAACCTACAAAATACAACAAATATTAACAATTTGCCAAGTAATAATAATAATTTTCAACGTAATTTCGCTAAAATTTTCGAACTTTTACCTAAATTTCAAGAAGAGGGTTTATTGCACCCGGTCGATTTCATTGACGGCATAGAGCGTGTTATGATTTTGTATAACGTATCTCTTGATGTTGTTGCCTTTTGGATTCAGGGTTTGTTTCTCGGTCATGCCAGAACCTGGGCAAATGCCTTATTGCACACGTTCCCAAACTTTTCTTCATTTAGAACTGCTTTCTTAGAACAGTTCTGGGGCCATACCAAGCAGGCAAAGATTAAATTGCAAATGGAAATCGGCAAATTTGACAGTTCTCTAGGTTATGTCAATTACTTTCTCTCCCAGGTTGCCAAATCTAAGCATTTGCAGTGTTATAGTGAGGCAGAACTTGTGGCACTTATTACTAGACATTTTCCCTCGGTAATTTCATCTTCTTTAATGGGAACAGCAACTGTCTCAGAGGCCCTTCAAAAGTTAAGGCAGGCAGAACATTACGAAACGAATTTCGACATTTTTACCCAACCAAAATATAACCAAACCGCAACAAATAGTCACGTGACTCCACGAACGGATGTACGAGGGTCGTTCGATAATGCCGTACGGGGGAGGTTCGAAAATCCTTCACGTCGAAACGACGATAAGTTTTCAAAAAACAGGTTTTCGGATAAGAAAATAAACTGCGTTTCCGGTCCGCGGCCACTTTCGGATGACGAAGAGCCTGTTGCGGAAAACTTTTAGATCCTCGGTTTTCGGGGTCAACCGCAGGATCTACTTTTAGTCGAGCCCCGTCAAACGTAAATATTTCCATCCTAAATAATCCTCGCGACGATTTGCTAACTGAATGCGATTTTCACCACGCAAACCTCAATTCTAATACCCCAATTATAAGGGTAGATATTTTGGGTTGTCAATTTCCGGCATTGCTGGATACTGGCAGCGAAATTTGTGCATTTTCAGACTTGGTGTGGAGCACTATTACACGTGATAACTCCATACCTGTGTTTCCAGTAACTGGTGTACGAGTTTCTGGAGCTTTTAAAGACAAACAACGCAAAATAACGCACCAGGCAATGGTACCTTTCACCATTGTGGATCAGAAATTTGATTTCGAGTTTTTATACGTGCCCGAGCTTGTTTTTCCTATTGTTTTAGGGTGTAACAGGGAGAAAGTTCGAAAAAACCGTTAAAATAATTCTTGGAAAAACCAGAAATTGAGAGTTTCTTAGAAAGGTTTAGAAAGCTTTAACATGTGCAAAATAAGTAATTTTGAAAAGGATTTCAAATGTAACGTCAAAAACAAATTTATAGGGTCGTGTTTAAAGAAAATTCCCATCGAGGCCATAAAGCCATAAATCCATATTGCAGGCTAACTTTATTTTGCCGAAGCCGCCCAAACATATGGCAGCAACACTTTCTTTAAACGAAGCAGTTTGAAGCAAATGAAAAGCGTCAGAAATATAATAAAATTAATATAATTAAAGAAAGTAACGAATTGATTCAGTTGAAAACTAAACTTAGAAAAATGGAGATTATAGATTAGAAATAGGAGATTATAGACTAGAAATAAGACGTAAGATTAGGTAGATTGTATTGTAAATATGAAAGCGTGGCTGCTTATTAAAAGATAAGTCTCGATCAGCCAATATAAATTAAGTGTAGATGGATAAAAATCCTAAGCATGGTTTGAACCAAGGGAATGCCCAATAAAATCAAACTCAGTTAATATGATTTAATAACCAGATATAAAAACAGTCGATTCAATCATTGGGCAACCTTTGTTACTTTTAAATCATCTTAAGATTATTATCAAAGCTAGTTAATAACGCAAAACAACAAATAAACATATTTGAAAAAAGTGGAGTTTATAAATTAACTTGCAATGATTGCGAAGCCACATATATAGGTGAAACAGGCAGAAATTTTAAGACAAGAATTAAAGAACACACAAATAACAATAATCACAAATCAAATTTCGGAAATCATTTAACAGATACGGGACACTCCTTTAACATGGAAACAAACACAAAAATACTACACATACAAGAAAAAGGCCACAAATTAACCCTGTTAGAAGCCTACGAAATTAATAAACAAATAAAAAACAAAAAAGAACAATGCCTTAATGAACAAGTAAATTTATTATATACACCAATCTACAAACATCTAGTCAACTAACCAAAAACAACAACAACAACCTAACCTCATTTTATATTTATATTTTTAGTTTTAATGTTAGTTTTAATGTATCAATTGTTTAACTCGTGTTTAGTCTCATTGATTATTTATTGTATCGACAACCTAGTGATAGTTTATTTATGTAATAATAGTATATTTTAATATTTTGACGTGTAAGTTACTTTAAAGTATGCTTAACCTATATATATGTATCTAATGTCTATTTATGTACCTCTTGTAGAAACCCTGAAGATGCCGTAAGGCGAAACCGGTCGGTTTTTAAAATAAAATATTACAGCAGGGAAGTGCAATTTTAATCCAAACAGATTTATTTACAAAACTAAAGTACCACTGCTTAAATGGATTACATAATTAAACAAACTAGTAAATTATAGTTTATCTTGAAGTTGGCGACAATGGCGTAAACTCCGCCCAATGCCTAGTAAAATTCCCACCTTGTTTGTTCCCGACCTTTCACATAGCCAAGTTTCCGACTTAAGTCAAAGGTTAACGCCTCCTCCCTTAAGAATTATTGAACCGCTTAGATTAAAACCAATAACCTTTCGTCCTTTTCGGTTGGTATGAGATTTTATGACCTTTTGAACCAGTCAATTTTCTATGACCCTTGCGGGGGGGGGAGTTGCCATGATTTTGACCAATGGTCTTTAAGAATTGATCCCTACCAATTTTTCCGTAAATTAGTCTATAAAAAACCAACAAGACCTTTGAATCGTCAGTTCTTATCTAAATTTTATCGCGCTTTCCACATCGGTCGTAGATCCTCGCCAACTTCATTTGATTCAGTGTAAAGGTACTTATAGTAATTATTGTATTTCAAACCAACTTGTTTATATTAGATTCACTCCGAATAGTTTTGTTTAATTATAGTTACTTACTCTTTAGAGTAACTCGCACCGCGCATTTGCTTAGTTAATTATTTGTTACATTTTCCTTTAGTTTACTTTTAGTTAAATTTCTTAATCTAGAGTTCTAATTTGTTTTGTAAACTAGTTCTTGTAAATTAAATCTCTGGAGTAACTTTAATTATCTCTTTTTAATTTTTTATTTAACTTAATTTTACTTGTTTATATCTTTTCATTTTTATTGTTAACTCTTTGTTTGTTAATATATTTATATGGTTTGAAATATCGCTTTATTGCTCTGTATGTTGTATAAGAAATAGCCCTGAATCAAGTTAAGTCAAAAGTAAGTATATAGTGAACGGTAATCGTGTATGAAGTTTTCCGCGCGGTTCGCGAGTGAGTTAAGTGTGTCAATATACATATAGGATTACTTCGCCTTCGACTCGTCTCACCGACATCCTCCAGCCGAAGCCACGACGATCTTCACCGGATTAAAAGGTCAGATTAGATTAGTAATTTGTAACGGGTT